TGTGTTCATGATATTTATGCACAGCAATGAGCAGGTAAGAAAAATTATTTAAACATGGCGAATATATACTAGCTAGTACATGTGTGTACATATTAAAAAGGGGGCATTAAAATGCTTATCTTAAACATCTTATAAATATATCTCTTGCAGCAAATCAAGTTTACTTTACTGTTTTCCAACAATTAACTGAAAGCTAAAGTTTTTGACAGTTTTGTCCATATGGGACAAGTTCATCATATGCCCAAGCTGAAATGAGAGATTAGATAAATTTACACCAGGTATGTACACATGAACCTCAACCTCTTAAGTTATCACTTGTTGTCTCGTGTCAGGTATGACACTGTTTTATACCTGGCAAACTTTTACAGGTGGAATGTACTGCTCATTTCCCCGCTGTGCATTCATGTCAAATTTAACCAGTGGCAGTATGACTCCAAGTTACCACATAAAACATTAAACGGTCTGAGAAAAACAAAATATCACGTTCAACTCACCAATCTGGTATCCCGTCTTCTAGAACTACAGCGGTAGCTTGCACAGCAAGGTTTTGAACTTCTTTCAACTGTCTAATCAACCCGTCCTTTTCTTGCTGTAACTTCTGATTAGCTTCTTCGAGGTGGCGTATTCTCTTCGCTTGAATTTGAATAACGGTGTCCTTTTCTTGTAAACGTTTAGCAATATCTTGGGCAGCAACGGCCATTGTTTGACCCGTGTCATTCGAAGCCGATCTAGACTTTTTCATGGTTGTATTTTCAGTTGTACCGTTTCGTCAGTGTGAGAACAACACTGCTGGACTCACCTGAAACCAAGCCATGTAGCGAAATAGGTCATTTACTTCGCGGCGCAACTATTGGAATAGTTTCGAATTTTTATTAATTTTTGTAGCTAGTTGTGTGTTGCATCCAAATTGAAATCATAGCAAAAGAACATCAAAAATTTTGTTTATCTTTATGATTGGAATATAAGCATAATGTTATTTGTCTTAGAGTATTTAACGAATGCGCAACTAAACTTTATATCATATAATGAACTTTATATATACATCAGGTGCTTGTTCTTTCCTGAAATTGACAAATCACCAAGAAACTGATGGTACGTACGGTTGACTTCGAGTATATTTTGTTTAAATGGCCTAAAATAAAATTTATGTTTCTTGTGATATGTATTGAAGTGATATTGCCTGCAGATTTTGGTTTTTGTGAAGTTACACTGGCTATTAACTCCAGTATTGAAGCCTGAATCCTCCCCCTAATTTAGGACCTAAATTCCCCAGTGCATGTACTTCTTATGCCAATGTCAGTAACTTAAATTTTTCCATTTCAGATTCAGATAAAAGCTGACAATTTCAGTGCTTGGTATTGAGTAAGAAAAATTTGTTAATGATTTACAACAATATGACTTTGATCTTTAACTTTCAGTTTCAGGAAAAAATGATGGGCACTTTTGTAGTACAGTATCCCCCCCACCATAGGCATATAACTATTTGATGTTTAGTTTGATATTAGTTTGTTAATTTGTTTACTAATTTAACAATGTCTCTAACCAGGGAACTGTATTCAATATAATTCCCTGCTCTAACTTAAACCTTTATGCCACCCAAATATTACAAGAGCTGGAGCCATTGTTGGGGTAAAAATTAGCTCTCATCTCAGTGGTCAAAGAGCCTGAAGTTTTAGCAAAAAAAAAACTTAGTTGAACAGCAGAGACATTTATCAAAGTCACCACATAGGTTAAATTTGAATAACGGGTCATTCCATATCAACTCATCCAGCGAGGGTACCCTCTGTCAAGAAACTTGCTGATTTTCACATATTTTGTAGATATTATAGGGACTAGAAAAAACCTAAAATTTTAGATTGAGATCTCAACCGGTTTCAGAGTTATGACTCTCCAAAGTTGGGCCCAGCTGAGGGCTTGCTGTGCCTCACGTGGATCTAGGTCATGGTGACCTAGTTAAGAAAAACACTATAACAATAGTTCTTCATATCCCATTGCTTTGCAGCTTTAATGACTTTATATTTTAACATTTCAGGAATCCAACTATCATACTGAAAATGGTCTGGCATAATTAAAATGCACTTTATTTTAACTTTGAAAAATCCTTGTCATTTTTTAAAAATGAAGGACACCCCACCTTTTTAATCTCATTTTTCTCAATGTCTCCAAGCGGACAGGTGTTTTTGCTTTATATCATTTGAAAGAGGGGGGTTTGAACTTTAAAGTGAAAGTGTTAAATCAATTTGTATATTTTGGAGACAAAAATAATAATGCATTATTAAAAAAATGTGTGATCTGGGCTATTGCATGAGCACTGATGCAGAACAGTGTACTTTCAGACACCCAAATTTATGAATTTTCA